CCCTATATAAATCAAAGGACTCCTAAGAAAAAGTGTCAGAGTTCTGATTCTTCAAGAAATCTGAAGGTGACTCATCATCACTCCTATCCTTAATGAAGCTTATTAAAATTCCTCTCACTCCAAAAAATAATACCCAAACATGTGAAACAGCTCCCATAGACACAAATGTATGTGCATCTAATTCAGTGAGCTCTCCAAAAAGAATGAACTTATTCCCACTCATTTTGGTGTATTATTATTATTGCTAATAAAAGTCATATATTTACTTTTTTTTCTCTTATGGTCTTTTTACTTGCTGTTTATAGTAATTCTACATATCAGAAATAAGCCAAAAACTCAAGAATGGTGGACATAATGTCACATAAATACTATAAATTATATACAATGAATTTATAGTATATAATAGTATGAAAATATATACCCTAAATATTTTTCACATCCTAGATTCTAGTGAGCAGAGCAGTTACAGTCTACCCTGACCATCCTCAGGGGGGAGAGTAGAGAGTCAGCTATTCCTGCTGACCTGAACCACTGAGCACATGTATGTAAAATGAATGACTCATAACTATAGTGCAACCATCCCGACACCACCAAAATCAAGTTATTCTTACATAGAGAAATAAACCCAAACCTCATTTTAACATAACCCCTCCCCTCAGTCTTTCTCCTTTCTCCGTACAGTGCTATCCATGCTGGAAAGTCATTGCCTGTGGTTGGCAGGAACATTCTTCTCCTCCTCTCTCAAAAGAATACATTTTGTTTTCAGAACTCAAATGCTTTGTCATTTTGGATGGTACTATGCTGGTCTCCTACTTCAGAGTATAAAGAACTAAATGAATATTTGTGAAAGTTATTCTTCCAAAGATTTCCTATAATTGGATCTAATATTTTACCATAAAATGATGGAAAACAGTGTAAGGATAATAATATAAAATGATACAATCAAGCTATAGCATATTGTATACAGCCAGGAATATTAACAAGATATTTATTTGTGTCATTATTTTCCAATACTTTTTGCACAGGACAGGTATACTGCTTGCGGGGGGAGGGGGTTGTGGTGAGTGTGTGTGTGTGTATGTGTGTTTGTTTTATTCATCATCTCATATTTGTTTAGTTCCTGTCTTTTTGCAAAGTCAGAGACATACTGAGTCTTCATTCTTTCTCATAAATTTCCTCTGATATTCTTAATTAATTTCATTTTCACTTGATTCACATGTAAAAAAATAGTGATTTGATCATAGAATTATGAAAGTAAGCTGAAAATTGTTTGATGGTCTGACTTTTTCAAAATTAAATTTCTGAAATAAGAGCCTTTTAGAATAAAGTGTTAATTTCAACCTTTGGCACAAACATACTCCTTTTCTAAAACAGAAATTTGGGGTCCAATGCTTAGAATTATATATCATGTGAATATGAAGACTGTAGACATCTGACTTTTACTCACTCAAATCTCATCTGAAAGTAAAAAATACACAATTAGAAGATTTCATTGTCACCTTTTCATTTGCTCTGCCTTAATCTCGCTTGCAGATCAACCTGGCAATATCCTGAGCAGGATCCTGCAAACTCCGACAAGAGGTTTCTTGGATATTTAGACCCTCATTTGGAGTACTGAACAACCAAAACATGGTTTTTTTTCCTCTTGTTAGTATTATGGGGTTATCACTTAGGAAAGTTTAGTTCCTTTGCCTTTTGATGACCACTAGTCTCAGATGACAAGAGCTCCAGAGGAGACATTTTGCTCTAGGTGGTGCGGGGTTAGAGTATCTTTTTCTCATAGAAAGCGGAGGAAGCTAGGCTTCTGGCCCACACGCCAGCACGGGAACTTGACAAGAAGAAAAGCGTCACTCCTTCCAAGCCCGCCTGTGGTGATACAGAGCAGCCTGCTAAAGGAATGATGTAGGAAGCCGGCAAAAGAAAGCTTCCCAGGTACTGTTAAAAATCAAAGGGCTTGAGATGAGAGAGATCTGTTTGCAGGTTGAGTGACCAGCAAACTTGTTTCTATGGAGCTGATCCTGAACAGTTTACAAGATTTTAGCTGGGGCCTGGCATGCCAGACGCTCCAAATCAACCTTTGGGAAGTGGCATTGCCCGGAAGGTGGAGAGGTGGGGGTTGGGGTGGTGTGCCAGCAAAGAGGCGCCTCCAATCCTGCCACGCTGCCAAGGCAAACAGAATCGCCCAGACTGGCAGACAAGTCCTTTTAGGGGGCGCAGAAGACCAGCGATCAGGGGTCATTTTTTAAATTTCTTTTTCTTTTCCAAGCCCCCTGAGATGGATTCTGAGAGCCTGGGACCCGGAGCGCTAGGCGGAGGAGGACGATGGACGCAATGGACCGTGCCGGGCAGCCTACAGGGGGCGCGCGGTCACCGCGGAAGCCGGTTCCCACTGTCCACCCGGCCCAGGTCCCGCCAGGCTCGGATCTGCGGAGCGCGCGACCGGGTAGCGGCCGCCCTCCCCTTGTCCCTGTTGGTTCCTTTGCTCGGGAATTCATTCTAGAATTGTATTTTAAACCAGAGTACGAAGAAAAGCTGTGAGGAGACTGATAAGGTCGCAAAATCACATGCCAAAACCGGCCTATCCTTCCCAGTTTTCAATTCCAACATACCAGAAAACTGCCTTGCTGTAATTATATTGCGGGTTTGTTTGGGGTCTAGTGGATAAGGAATTGAGTTGCCAGACCAAAGGAGAGCGGTTCAAATGCGCCCTTGTTCTGCGAGAGACTGGTGAGCAAATTGATTCTGACTCAAAGGCAATGAGTCCGTTTTCTTTTCCATAGAATATAAGAATGTTGCGTAGGAGAAAGTGGTTTTAGGTGCCATAGAGTCGATTTTCCACAAGAAGACTGTGCTTTGTTGTGTGCGTGCGTGAGTGTGCGTGACTGTGTTTCTGCTTTGGCATGCATAGAAAGCTTGGGAAAACAAGCGGCCATTCCTTTGGGATACTTTGGAATATATTCATCTCTCTTTCTCCAATCTTGGGAACATTTCCGAAGCAAAAGGATCTGGAAAAACAGGGTAATGGTGAGCGCAGTCAATGGTGATTAATTTTATAAAACACAATCAGTGGGAATGAGTGTATGAAATAGTGTGAATGAAGGATACTGTGAAACACAATGTATACGAACTTTGAATGCAAACCAATATAAAATAATATTTTTTTTTTAGTCGGGAAAAATGCTATGGAGGGAGGGGAGAAGCACGCTGTCACTGGCTGCATGTTGGGTCAAAAGTGATGTAGATTCAGAAGCCAAAGATTGAACCTGTCCTGTAAGGAGAGGTTCTCCCCCTGCAGCTATAGCTTCTTCCATGTTCCCTTGCCATTCTTCGCACCACTGATGCCACCGTCCTCAGTTCTCTGTCCTGACTGCCACTTGGGCTCTGTCCTCTGTCGCTGCCTCCACTCCAGTTCCGGGCGAAAGGGCTCCCATTATTTCTAACGGGGTGGGGGACAGAACGGGCTAGATCTCCAGACCTAAACGGGATTTTATAACCTAGGGCTTTCACCTGTAGACATCTAAAACTTTCACGCCTTCACACTGAGCTGGGCTCACCAAGGTGTGTATGAGAGATCCAGTGACTGTTATTGAGCTAAACAAACTCTTACTTAGGTGACCCTCCAGAGGATTTTCAGAGACAGTTAATCTCATGGGAGGAGATTGTCTATCCTTCTCTCACAGAACAGCCCCTGGATTCGGTGGATTCAAATGGCGTTATGTTGAGCTGGAAGCTCAGCTCCTTACCACTAGGCCACCAGAGGACAAATGACAATTTTTGGACCAAAGAGTTGGAGGGAGAATTAAAAAGAAGCTAATTTCTAGAAAAAAAGTCCTTTTGGAGAGGTCCAACAGAGAGACACCTCCCAAGCAGATCTCCTCTGTCCTTTATTGATTCTTTTAGGCCTCTCATCCCCACCCCCTACTTCATGTCCTGTTTGTTTTAGTTACGAAACTCTGTGGCCACCTCAGTTGTGACTGCAAAGTAACCTTGAAACACGCCAGCTTGAATGTCAGAGAAAAATCGCAGTCTCTCAACCTTCGGCCGCAGCTGGCAGAGCTCCCGCGGGCCACCGGCCGCCTGCTGCTTCGCGCATTGCCGGGGGCCGGCCTACCGGGAAGCTGCTGGCCGAACAGGACCGACCGCGCCGCTGCGCTCCCACCGAGGCCACTACTGGTCTCAGCTGTAACCGGGGAGGAGCTTCCCGTGAGCCGCAGCCACGGGAAAGGTGTGTGCCCAATTTTTCAAAATAAGACAGTGCTTTACAAATTGGCGCTGTCAGTGCTTGGTGTTTTCACAACAAGAGAGCTCTGAGAGCGAAAAAACTTGAAATAACTAAGTCTGCCTTTATCAGACTTTCGGAAGGGAATGTGGGCGGCCTCCCCCAGTTTACTTCCCAGTTCCCCAAGTCCCCACCTGCCAGGTGACGGGAGCCCTCGCCCCTGGAACCCGCGACCCTGCTGCCAGCCGCACTTCCTTCGCACTTCCTCCTCGGAGCGCGCGCGCAGGTGCGGGAGCGGAGGTGGGGGGCTCGCCCCGCACCTAGGTAGGAGCTGATTATTCAAATGGGCTGCGGAAGGCCGGGGATTGGAGGCCGGAGCGCCGCTCTCTAACACTCGGGGCCCACGTCACTGCGGCACTTGTCGCTCCGACGGCCGCGCCTCCCCCTCCCTCGCCACCCCCACCCCCGCCCCGCCTGCCCACTTCCCGCCGTCTCGGGGTGCTGAGAGGCACTGCCCACTCACCCTCCACCGGGCAGCGGTGAGGCGGCGGTGGCAGTGGTGGGCGCTCTCCTAGCTGCGGGGTTCGGTTAGGCCTCCGTCTCCAAGAGGTCCCCTCCTCCCTCCCATATTCAACTACCGCCTTTGGCCGGGAGAGAGGAAGTGGAGCAGCGAGAGGAGAGGGTGGGAGGGACGGTGCCTGGCAGATTTATTTTTTTTAAGAGGGTGGGGGTGAGGGGGACTGCTTGGTCGTTTGTTGTGGCTGTTAAATTTTAAACTGACATGCACTCGGCTTCCAGTATGCTGGGAGCGGTGAAGATGGAAGGGCACGAGCCGTCCGACTGGAGCAGCTACTACGCGGAGCCCGAGGTAGGCGCGGGCCCGGTGGCCGGGCGGCTGGAGCCTTCGAACCACTTACCACTGGCCCCCGCCCCCGCCCCCAGCCTCTGCGGCACCATCCTTTACCTCCCTCGTTCGACTCAAATGGGTCTCTTTTTTATACGACACACTGTTAGCCTTGAGATAATATTAACTTTGTGATCAAATATTGACTTGCGGCGCCTCCAAATCCTCTTCGTCGTCCAGTCACACACTATCCTAACAGAGTTCTGTTTGGCAGCGTGCAGCTGGGGAGGGCTGGGGAGGTCTTAAGGCTAGGGGGTTGGGGAGCCGAGTGGAGACTGGGGGATGTGGTGGAGGCAAAGAGACAAGGAGACCAAAAATTTGCGCTCCAAACCCTGGCAGCTGGAGTTCAGTTCTTGATCATCTCCCCACCTCCCAGCCTTACCTCCAGCTGGTTCCAAGACTCAACACAAACAGCTTGCTGTTCTCCCTGGCCCTGGAGCTCCTTAACCCCCAATGTCGGGGCAGAGGGCGCCTGGGACAGTCTCTGCTGAGGCTGCCTCGGGAGCCCTGCTCTGCGTCCTGCAGGTTGCTCTTTAGGGTCAGGTGTCCCAATTTGCGTGCTGACCAGAATGTGAGAGGTTCTTGGAAAGAATTCTGAGGTCCTGGTCTAAGGGTGTTGCATGTTACAGTATCTGGGAGAGGCACAAAAGGCTAGGAGTAAACCACCCGCGCAGAACAGTAGTTGGCTCATCAACTCCCCAAAGCCGATCCTCATGCGCGCTGAGGGAACGGGCTTGGTGACAGTGCCAGTGCGAAAAGAGCTTTCTGGAAGGCCTCCTCTGGGCGGTGGCCAGAGTTGGAGGGAACACGGGAGGTCTGGGCTTCTGGGGCTGTGGTGCTAACCTGTGCGGCCCCCTCCTGCCTCTGTCCACAGGGTTACTCCTCCGTGAGCAACGTGAACGCTGCTGGCCTGGGGATGAACGGCATGAACACGTACATGAGCATGTCCGCGACCGCCATGGGCAGCGGTTCGGGCAACATGAGCGCTGGATCCATGAACATGTCTTCGTACGTGGGCGCAGGCATGAGCCCATCCTTGACTGGCATGTCCCCGGGCGCAGGCGCCATGGCAGGCATGAGTGGTGCGGCTGGTGCGGCAGGGATTGGGCCGCACCTGAGTCCTAGCTTGAGTCCGCTTGGGGGGCAAGCGGCCGGGGCTATGGGCAGCCTGGCCCCATATGCCAACATGAACTCTATGAGCCCCATGTATGGGCAGGCTGGCCTAAGCCGCGCGCGCGACCCAAAGACTTACAGGCGCAGCTACACTCACGCCAAGCCACCCTACTCTTATATCTCGCTCATCACCATGGCCATTCAGCAAAGTCCCAACAAGATGCTGACGCTGAGTGAGATCTACCAGTGGATCATGGACCTGTTCCCCTTCTACCGGCAGAACCAGCAGCGCTGGCAGAACTCGATTCGCCACTCTCTGTCTTTCAACGACTGCTTCCTCAAAGTGCCACGCTCGCCTGACAAACCCGGCAAAGGCTCCTTCTGGACCCTGCACCCAGACTCAGGCAACATGTTCGAGAATGGCTGCTATCTGCGTCGCCAGAAGCGCTTTAAGTGTGAGAAGCAGCTGGCTCTGAAGGAGGCGGCGGGTGCTTCAGGTGGAAACAAGAAATCGGCTGCCCAAGCCGCACAGGGTCAGCTAGGGGAGACTGCCCGGCCAGCCTCCGAGCCAGCAGGCACAGAGTCGCCCCATTCGAGCGCCTCTCCATGTCAAGAGCATAAGCGAGGGCCTCTGGGGGAGCTGAAGGGGACGCAGGGCGCAGCGCTTAGCCCACCAGAGCCAGCGCCCTCTCCAGGGCAGCAGCAGCAGGCCTCTACCCACCTGCTGGGCCAGCCACACCATCCAGGTCTGCCCCCTGAGGCCCACCTTAAGCCAGAGCACCACTATGCCTTCAACCACCCCTTCTCCATCAACAACCTCATGTCCTCAGAGCAACAGCACCACCATAGCCACCACCACCACCAACCCCATAAAATGGACCTTAAAGCCTATGAACAGGTGATGCACTATCCTGGGTATGGCTCCCCTATGCCAGGTAGCCTAGCCATGGGCCCAGTCACGAACAAAACGGGCCTGGATGCCTCACCACTGGCCACAGACACCTCCTATTATCAGGGGGTGTACTCTCGGCCAATTATGAACTCCTCTTAAGAAGGCAGCAAGCCTGGCTGACTGGCAGTCCATGGACAAGGACAAGAAGAGACAGTGGAGTTGAGACTTTCAGTAGGAGGTATTGAATAGATGGGTGGAGGAAGAAATCCCTAACACCCCAAGGACAGTAGTCTTCCCTCACCCTGTGCAGTCCTTCCTTCCTAAACATATGGACCACCACTGATGCTGCTTTCCACTCTGCAAAGAGAGTAAAGGAGAAAAGATAAAAAAGTAAAAAAAAAAAAATCCATAACCTCTGGTTTCCATGACTGTATAGACTCCTGCTTCTCTTGGAACCTGCAGATTCTTACCTTTTTGTGTTGTTCTCATTGCTCTTATTGCAGGGAAATATTTTTTTTAAGTGTAACTCGATGTAAAGTAATGTAGTTTTAACAGAAAATCAGCGAGTTGTACTATTGTTTTAAAGGGGGAAGAGTGATGTAAGGGTCTGTTGTAAATGACTCTGAAAAGAAAGTGCATTCCCATTTTTGACAAGGTGAAATTTAGGTCTGAGATCTAATTAATTTATGGTTTCTGTGTGCTTTATTTATAGCTAATGTGTATTCTGGCTGTGGGGCCAGAGACCCACACATCTTTATTAAAGTGTTATTGCTGGGTTTACACCTTAAATCTTTTCTTTAAGGTTCTTTTCCCCCCCAGGATGATGAGGGAAGAGGTCTGTTTTGGTGCTTCCTTTCATTAATGAAGTTTGTAGATTTCCCCAACACTTGATTATATTTTCAGACATGCCAAAGTTGAGATAATTCTGTAAAGGTTACTTCAGTTCTACAGATAATATTTAGCAAAATATTATCTGTACTGGCACTATCATATATCTGCCTATGTATTTATCTTAAAGACATCTTATTTTTTTCAGATACATATCGAATAAAGGTGCAGGTATCAATGTACTTCTAGAACTCTTCAGCATTACATCATTAACCAGAATTCATCATCGGCTCCATGTTTTAGTTTGATTTAAACTTTACTCATAAAAGCAAAAACTAGAGCCTGAGCAGACCATACCAAGGTTGACAAATATTTGTCGTTGAAACTAGGGGGGGAACCTTCTTTCCTTAACTATATATTGTTTACAGCACTCCACAGGACGATTTGAAATTGTGCTAGTATTGAACCCCCAGGTTCATTCTCAGGGAGAAATTGGGGAGTGAGAGATGTGTGGGTAACAGGGGTACAGGTATGGGCTGCCTTGGCATGAGTGCACCTGGACTGGGTTTGCAAACCCCTGCAAACCTCGCTGCTAACTGTCCACTCTCCTTACTCCTAGGGAGTAGGGATGTGGCACCCCTGAGACAGGGTTCTGCAGTTAGGCATCTGCCTACCCTCATCATCCACCACTTTCCCCCCTTGCGGAAGCGTCCTTCAAGTCGAAGTTGTAGCCAAGTAGTGAGGCAGCAGCAACCCCTTAATAACCAGGCTTGAAAAGCATTTAGGAGACTTCCTTCTGGAATTAATGTCAAAGGCATAGTGATTATCCAGATCTCCTTTTTAAAATGAGGTATGTGAGGGAGGGGTGGAGTTTCTGGCCTGATTGTCACGTGACTGTTAGCAGCAGGCCAAAAATCCAGGGACTGCCAATCTGCTCCTCATCTCTCTCCTCACGCTTCATGTACTTGCAAAGTGTTCTGGCTTCCATGAAGTCAGGGATGCAGACTAACGATGAGTAAGTGTTTTATGAGTAGTAAGGAAAAATTCAAACGTAAATAAAGACCTCAAATTATTTCTTACCCCATCGGGGCCACCTCTTTTAAACTCGCCAGCAGCTAAATTCCCTGTCCAGGCCCTGTGCCCGTGGGGTGCCAAGGTTGGCTTGCCTATGACATTTGATGGTCTGCAAACAGACTGGACTAAGGCAGAGACCCGTGGTCCTCAGGGTCCTGCAGACTGGGGATCCCTTCCAGCAGGTTAAGAACTCTGCAGATTTCAAGGGCTAGAACTTCTTGGCCTTCAATTTCTAAGCTCCAACTCTTGTTGCCTGTGGTGTTGTGTCCCAGCCCTGGCAAGCGCCTTTCTACCGCGCCTTTGACAGCTTGTGGGGTTCTGGCCCTTCCAAACCCTAGACTTCCCACGCGCTTTAAGGGGGTTTACGCCGCCCTCCCTCCAAATCCCTTCTTATCATACCACATTGTCCAGTAGAACACAGGGAAGAGAAATGAGGAGGGGCTGCGGAGGAGGCCGAGGCCAGCAATCAGGGGCTGTTTCTCCCCCAGGCGAGGACACACACGTCGTAGACCAGGCCTGAAATGTGTTTCATTACCACATAAAAGGCTCCCGTGGCGAAGAAGCCCAGAGGCAGAGCCGAGGGCTAAGGAGGACAATGGGCGCTGAAAGCGCTGTTCTAACCTGCTCTGTTTCCTTTCATATGTCTTTTGTGTGAGGGTCGTTTTAAACTACTTAGGACATCCCCCTCAACTGATCCGGATCGATAAGATATAGTTCTGTTAGAATACATTAGAAGAAGTTGGAATGGTGCTTTCGCCAAGGAGCGTCCAGTTTGCTCTAGTTCTGTCCTCGGCTCTGAGCTTGCCTGCTCGCCTACAACTCGCCTAAGTGTCCTGAGGAGCAACCTTTCTTTTACCCCCTCTCGCTTTTCTCAACATTTACCCCGCGTCTTCTACGTGCCAGTTTAAGCAACAGTCAGTGATATGTGAACAAAGTCAGTAAACAACCAGGGTTTAAAAACAAAACAAAACAAAACAAAACAAAAACACACCCAAACACACACACACACACCTCAACACACAAAACCTCTAGATCTGAATTCCAGGAGGGTAAACTTTCCCTGCCACGTCACACTTCAGCAAATTTGCACAGATATTATATTACCTCCCCCTGTTTTATTATTCCTTTTTTTTTCCCTGGGATCTCATTGTACTTAACTGAATTTTATAATGCTGATCGATATCTTGGTAAAATATTCATTTTTAAACTAGCAGGCAGTGAAATCTTTGCTTTGTGTGCTAAAGTCAACAGTCGCTGGGTTTGCGCTCAAATAAATGCGAGGATGCCTGGGCTCTGAGCAGTTGGCTGCCGCCCCCGCGCTGCCAGGCCGCCCCACGCCTCCGCCGGCGCAGGTAGGAGAGCGCCCACTCGAATCTGCGCCAGGCTCTGCGGCGGTGTTGACGCCCCTTCTCGCCCCAGCCAGCGTTCGCCCTTCCTGGGGCTCTGCTGTCCAGTGGGTTGCAAGGTGGGAGTGTTTCACGTTAAACTAGCAAGGAATCTGAGGCTTGGGGAGTTGCATTTGACGTGGGATTTTAGAAACCGAGGTATTGGAAAGCTTGAAGGGAATTACAAATGGAGGTTGAGTTTTGTATCCAAGCATAGTTGGAGAGGCATTTTCAGGGGCCTTGAGGCTGAGGAAGTGGCTACCAGAAGTCACTACTGGTCCCTGGAGCCACTAGAGTCTGGGAAGTCTATCCTAAGAGAGGGAAAGTGCGCTCCTTTGGACTCAGTCTGGAGTGGGGGTCGGCAGGAATGCCCTGGGTGGCGCCGGATGGTCTGAGAGGCAGAGATATATCAGCTTGCGCCCCACAAAGCGCACGAGGTCGTGTCCAGCTCAGGGCCTTCCTGGGTCTGGATCAGCCGCGGAGGCTGAGAGGCCAACACCACGCGAGGGCAGATGGTGCTTGCTGCCTGGAGGCTATGGCGTTTGGAAACCTCCCGTTCTGTCTCAGAATCCGGTGACCATTCACTGTCGCTGGACAGCTGCTGGCGGCCGGCCATTGTGCACAGGTGCGCAAGTTCTTGAGGTTTCGAATTTTAAGAGGCGAAAGCCAGGCTAAAAGGAAGAAACGGATTTCGTCCGGTTCTACTCTCAATCCCACTGCCCTTCAGTCTCCGGTTTTCCTGCGGCGAACCCCTTCTGCAGCAGGGCCCAAGCTTGAATGTTATGCCCGGAACATAAGCCACGCGGGGAGCAGAAAACCTAGTAGGCGCGTGGCAGCCTTGTGCAACCTACGAACCCTTGGCTTTCAAGGACTAGGAACCGAAAATGGGTCTCTCTTTTACCTCAAAGGCGAACTCCCCCATCTTCGCTTCTAAACCAGCACTCACAAGTGGGCCTTTGCTTTTTTCAATACTTACACGTGCATCATGAGAACTGGCCGGTTAGGTTATTTGGGGCATTTCTCAGCAATCAGCGGCGCTTAGGTGCCCGGCCTGGGAAATGGAGTTCTGATAGTTTAGTGGTAAGGAGTTGTGCTGCCAACTCTAAGATATGCAGTTTGAATTCCCCCGTTATTCCGAGGGAGAAAGAGACTTCCCTCCTCTGCGATTTATTATTTACAGCCTCTAAAAAACTGCTGGTGGCTCAGCTATGAATGGGTTCCGACTCGGTGATATATGTAACAACACTACTCCTGTTTGAAAAGAGCTCATCCAGACTGCAACAGGATCACAGGTTTCCAAGACAAAAGGGCAGAGAACCAATTTGTTGCAGCGAAAAAGAAATGGGGGGGGGGGCGGAGAGAACGTAGGCAGATTTTGTTCCTCCCAGCACCCTCCCACACCTCAGTATGGGAACCCTGATTACCTCTTTCCTGTCTTCCCTGGCTGGGAGCCGGGATCGCTGTGCACCCAGGGACCAGAACACGGCTTATGCATGTCTGGTTATGTCTCTTGAACACGATCGAACGTTTGCAGGACAGTCGGTGAGGCTAATCGTTTTTAAATAATTTATGCCTCCAGGTTTCTCTGGTAATGCACGGCCTGGGATCCGTCAATTACTTGTCATTAGATGAGTGTCGCCTAGCCTCAAAAAGGCCTTTTCGCGGGCCTTTGATGGCGCCTGGCCACCTTGGCCAGCCTACTACATATAGAATTAAAAGTGTCCAGCCTTTGAAAGCCTGTTAAGGAATATCAGAGTTAGAAAGAAAAAGTCTTACTGAAGAGATGCAATCTTCTAAATGGCCAATTTAAACGTCAGATCTTTATCGCAGGCCTTTGCTAGACTTCATAAAGAGAAGCTGAGAAGCCTCTGC